CACACACACATGCTCGGCTGACGTGAGTCCTTCAAGGTTTAAAATATCCTCTATGCTAAATGGAATGCAGAGGCACGTGGGATGCCTAGACAGACAGGGTTGGTTTCATCATGGTTGTTCTGTCAAAAAAATCAATCTGGTTGTTTGGCTAAATACTGATCTTGTTTTTAACTAATGTTTAAAATAGTCCCTGGCATTAACTTGTTTAAATACCTTATTTAATTTTATCCTCTCATCGTCTCTGAGAAAAGTGAAGCACACCATTCTCTTTTTAAAATAAGAGCAAACAGTCTTAGGGAGATGATGACCTACCCAAAGTCATGCATGTAGTGAAAGGATTGCTGTCTTTTAGGGGCCCTAATTAGTCACTATAAGCCAGTATAGGGTCACTGGAACCAAATAACCTAAATGAACTTCCTTTCCTTTCCTTTTCTTCTTTTTTAGTGAGGAAGATTGACTCTAAGCTAACATTTGTGCCAATCTTCCTCTACCCTATATGTGGGATGCCACCCCAGCAAGGCGTGATGAGCAATGTGTGTGCACACACCCACTATCCGCACCCGCAAACCCTGGGGCAGCCGAAGCGGAGTGTGCTAACCTAACCACTATACCACCAGGCCAGCCCCTTCATTTCCTTTCTTGATGAGTGTGATGGCTAAAGGGACTGTCATGAACATAGATATTCCTACTCCCAGAAAAACATATGACAAAGTCTTCTATGGTGTCATTCAAGGAATGACGGAGAAGTGCGTGGGCTGCATGATAGAAATTAGGTGAAGTGGGAGCTGATTACGTCCAAAAGGGGAGGATATTTTGATGGTCATTAACTTGCAGTCTGATCTCTAGGGACTTTCCATAAGGCTTTATTTTTGGTCCTGTTCACTACAACAATTTATTAGTTACCTGGAAGAAGTCTAAGAACTTGCTTACTAAGTTTGCACATGAAAAAAAGCTAGTAAAGGTTAGTAATTCACTGGATGACAGAATCACGTTTCAAAAACGTCTGTTATTTAGGATGATGGATTAACATTTATTAAAGATAAAGATAAAGTCTCGCATTTAATTAGGAAAAAAAATTGTGATAAAATGAGTAGAGCTGAGCTGAGAAGAACAGCTAAAAATTAAAAAAGCTCCAGGTTTTAACTGACCATAAGAATCATGCAGCTACTGAAAAAGTCTACGCAATCTCTGTCGGGGTTCAGAGAGACAAAGAAATTGAGAGAGAGAGAGAGAGGGAGAGACGAGGTGGCTAAAAGTAAGATCTATTCTGGTTGTACCCATCTTGAGTATTGTGTTTGATTCTGGAAACCATATTTTAAGAAAGATACTGACAAATTGTTGTTTGTTTAATGGATGGAGGCGTTTTGATAGTGAAAAATCAGGGAATCGTGTAATATTAAAAAATTGGAGTGATTTGTCTATAAGTTAGAAGGTGATAGGGGCCAGCCCTGTGGAGTACTGGCTGGGTTCAGAGAACTCCACTTCTGTGGCCTGTGTTTGGATCCTGGGTGTGGACCTGCACCACTCATCAGCTATGCTGTGGTGGTAACCCACAAATAAAGTGGAAGAAGATTGGCACAGATGTGAGCTCAGGGCTAATCTTCCTCAACCTAAAAAAGAGGAGGATTGGCAACAGATGTTAGCTCAGGGCTAATCTTCCTCAACCAAAGAAAGAGGAGAATTGGCAACAGATATTAGCTCAGGGCTGATCTTCCTCAGCCAAAAAAAGAAGGGGATCTTAATAGCTACCTTTATTGAGCACTTACTGTGTACATTAATTACTTAATTCTCACAACAACATGATGAATTATTTATTGTTGTTATTGACCATAGAAACTGAGGACACATAGCTAGACTACCTAGACTACTACAGAATATGCTGTCTTAATATTGTACTATATTATTTCTCTGAATGTTTATCAAATATTTGAAGAGTTGCTATGTGGATAGAAAACTAGACTTAGTCGGTAATCATAGTTATCAACGGATGAGCAGACTCAGATTATGTCTCAAAGTTGAGAATTTTTCTGGGCACTAGAAGATGCTACTACATCTTCTAGTTTTGGGTACAGTGGTAGACTAGATGACCTCCAAGGTAACATCCAATTATAAGATTCTAACTTATTGGGATTTGATACAATGAAGGATTATTATAAACAGAAAAAAAGCCTTAAAAGAAGGTATAAATTAAATTAATTAGTGATAATTTAAATGACTTTCTCTTGAATACAAGTTTAGAGAGTGTCCCACCCCACATCCCATATTGCTAAGATGTCCTCATAATGTGTTCTTGGTAAACCTCCTTTTATGGGCACCAAACTCTGCCAAAATTACATAAACTTTTGTTTATCTATCTTTTACCATATCTAGACTATTGTGAATAATATCTACATGCAGACCTGCATCCAAGAAGGTTGCATTGCAGAAGTAACAAATGTCATTTAAAAAACCCTTACGTTGGGTGACTTCTAATAGCTGTTTAGTGTATTGAAATCCATGTTGGCATTGGTTTCAGAATGCTAAGAAAGTCAGATCTCTGTCAGATACTAGTTGTGATGACTGGGGCACTTCACTTCTTTTTTCTGCCTTGTTACATTTTAAAAATAAGGATAATAATATTACCTTTAAAGATTGTTGTTATAAGTGCAAAAATGTCTGCAACAGCTCCTACCATACTATGCCGATTTTCAATAAAAATCTAGGTTTTCATTGAAATGTATTTGCATGAATAATTGTGTGTAATAAGGAATTTGCCTGACCTTTATCTCTGGTTCCAGGGAGGTAAACTCTAAACTCAATGAATTTCCTGAGTGATTGGAGTGTCTTTATTATCCATGCTGGGTCTCTCAACCCCACCTGATAGTTTATGCTAAACAGACGGCTCAGAATGGGGGCTGGCCAGCCAGGAAGACCAACCATCTGGTTAGAGGATTGGGGCTTTGAGCTACATGATATCAGTCGAGCCTCTGGGAGGGAAGGGAGGCTGGAGATTGAGTTCAACCACATGGCCAAGGGTTCAATCAATTCTGCCTACATAAGAAAGCCTCAATAAAAACTCTGGACAATGAAACTCAGGTGAGTTTCCCTGGTTGGTAACTGTCACACACTGATGTACCAGTTGGGTTCTACATCACTGAGGGTGAACGAGGTTTCACTTTTGGATCCTCCCAGACCTTGTTCTATGCATTTCTCCCTTTGGCTCACTCTGATTTGTATTATTTTGCTACAATAAAGCTCGAATCATAAGTGTTGTGCTTTCCTGAGTTCTGTGAGTCATTTTAGCAAATTATCAAACCTGAGGGAGTTCGTGGAGACCTCCTAATTTATAGCCAGCTTATCAGAAGTGATGGCAGCCCTATACACCTCTAAACTTGTGGCTGATGTCTAGAGTGAGTACAGTCTTGAGGAGAAAATCTGTGAAGTTTGCCTTAAGTCTGGGTAAGTTGCTTAAGCATGCATATGAAAAATTTAGATGTACATAAAAGGTAAACTGGTAGTAATATTTGACTTTCCAGTTCTTCTAGAATATGTCAAATGTGGTTTGATTATAGGAATTTATGTTTTTAGCAAATTTTCAGGAACATCTTCATTGAGTAACGTGAAGAAACACATGTTCAACACCTAAAATGTTTTAGGTGGAGACATAGGTAAGACTTTTCTAGATTATCTTATAAAATCCTAATACCAGTGCTTTGTCCCTTGCTTACATACAACGAATCAAATCACTAGACTTCCTGCAGTTCACACATTTAGTTATGACAGTTTAGATTTGAGCCCTTTAAGAAGTGGAACCACATCTCACATAATTCCGTGGAGCGTGGAGCCTGACACTTAGTAAGTATTCAGTGCGTGCTTTTCCTTAACTTTCTCAGTCAACTAAGAAAAGGACAGGGTTTGATCTTGTTAACAATCAATCAAGGATTGTAAATTTGTTTCCTAGAACTCTAGTATACCTATCACTGAATTTATCGCTCTTAATTTTCTTGCTTCCCTACATTTCTGGAAATTTTGTGAGGATTTGGAAATGTTTATTTTGCTTGCCATGGTATCCCCGCTGCCCAGTATGGTGCCTGGAACAGAGTCCATCCTCGACAAATATTTTTTGTACGGAGACCTAGTGTTAAAAGGAGTTTCTTACTCATAGACACTAATTATTCCATAGTTTGCAAGTAGGTAAATTAAATTTGCTTGTGACAAGAGAACACAAACCAATACTTTCTTCACATTATTTTAAGTACACCACTATAAGTATTTTTGCAAGGAAAGAAGAATAAGTTTGTGACGTTTTTCATAAAATAAACAAAAGGAAATTCTTAAAAATTTAAGCTATATTAACATTTTAGAACAAATAAAGGAAAAAGTCTGTAGATTTAAAATACAGCCAAAGACATGTCACTGTGACAGCTAATCATTATAGTCATCTTGTCTGATTTTTCCACCAGCACATGTAAGAGCAATACTTTTTATGTTTGCATGTGAATTTTTCAGATTGGTTCTTTGTCCTGACCAAATTCTCCATGGGGAAAATTTTCCAAGATCATTTGTTATTCAACTCACAATTTCTCTTTGGTGCCATAGATGAGACTTCTGGCAAATTACAAGGAAAAAAGGTCATCCAGATACTCCATCCTCCCATATTTACACAGGACTTTCTGTTTCTGTGGATTATCTATGCCAGCACTGAGGCATTATTGAATATGGCCTCGTTGAAAGACCTAATAAGCATATAATGACCTGTTTGCTTTAAAATACACTAAAAAAAGACAGCAGACAGAATTTCATGAGAAGTGACATTCTGTAATTACCTCCTCCTATCAAAAGAAAAAACAATTCCCAGAAATTAATGAATACAGCAAGAGTCTATTTCCTATCTTAATTCTATCTTAATTGCAAAAGTGGATCAATTAAAAAAAAGACTACACTGGCAAAGCCCCTGTCTTAAGGTTTTCTCTAGTCATCAAATCAATATATACATGAGCATACCATGAACCTGTTTTTACCTTCTGAGATGAGCTATACCAACCCCACCAGCAGTGTCACTGTGAAACAAGCGAATCCATTGAACAGTGTCAAACAATTCATAGAGGGTCCTCTGATGGTATTTGGAACCAATCTGTATGATATTACAGAGACTGAGAGAAAAAGGGGTCAGAATTTAGAACATTTTCTCTAAAATACTTTTATTCAAATTAGTGCTGATTATACTTCAAAGAAAGTTTATTGATGCAGTCAAAATTTGGGTTGGACTTTGTTAAAGTTACTACAGTAAGATATATTATGATCTTATAATTTACAGGTGTCTACAAGGAATAAAATATAGGAAAATATACTCTTGTACAGCTATAAGGAAAATTTGATTACTTGGTGCTTAAGTGTCTCATTATACTCACACAAATTTCACCACAATCTGAATATTTCTGATGAACTCTGGTCTGAGATGAGTCTTGTACTACAAAATGTCACAACCATTTATCAGTAACTCTCTGACACTGTGATTCTGTGCAAATGGTTAGGTTCTCTATGAAAAACTTGAATTTATCATTTAAAATTAGCATAGAGGTTAAGAGCCTGGACTCTGGAGTTCGACAAGATGGTGCTAAAATGCCAGGTCAACCACTTACTACCTCTGTGATGTTATGCAAGTTATTTCAACTTCCCAAGCCTCATTGTCCTTCTCTATAAAATGGGCGTAATACCAGTACTCACCTGTGGAGGGCCTGGGACTCTTACCTGCTGTGATATATGCAAAGTGCTTATTACAATGCTGACTTGTAGGGACTGAATAAAGGTGACCTATTTTTAACAACATTGATCTCACCAATCAAATAGCCCCTACTTGTGCCAGGCACCATGTAAAGCCCTTTATATCTTTATATTCACTTAAATGATCCCATTAAAGGAGAGGGTACCTAAAGAGAGACAATAGCTTAAGCATTGGGTCTCCAAAATGGTTATCTCTTTTTCCCTAAATCATTGTTGGTGTAATAGTAATGACGGTGGCAAGAAACTGAAAGAAAATCAAGGAGGTAAATTTTTCTTAAATTCCAATTAAAAATAATTTTTTGATATTAAAAATAGATGAAAATAAGTATATATGATTTTGTACATACCATATTAACATAACTATATAAAATATGGCAATATTGGGGCCTGGCCCTGTGGCCTCGTGGTTAAGTTTGGTATGCTCTGCTTCCATGGCCAGGGTTCAGTTCCCAAGTGCAGACCTACACCACTTGTTGGTGGCCTTGCTGTGGCAGCTCACATACAAAATAGAGGAAGATTAGCACAGATGTTAGCTCAGGGCAAATCTTCCTCAGCAAAAAAAAAAAAAAAAAAAGAGAGAGAGGCAATCTTAGGGATACCTGCAGAATATTTAAAATATTCATTATAATACGACATCTGAGATTTGCTTCAAAACTATGCAACAAGGAGGAAGACAGTATGTGAATGAGGGTAGAGGGCCTAAACACTAGGCCAAGTTTGGCTATGAGTTGAAAATTATTGATGCTGGAACATGGACATACAGGAGTTTCTTATACTACTGTCTCTCTTTTGTATATGTGTGGCAAAAAACTGTAAAGAAATACATTAAATAATATGAACAGTTTTAGCTTTGAGTGGTTGAATTATTGGATTTTTAAGTTTTCTTCCCCTTACTCTTTTGTATGCTGCAAATTTTCCTACAATGAGACATCATACATAAACATTAAAGCTCATTTAAAAAAGAAAAGTGGTGATAGAAAACCAATATACTGTAACCACTAAACCTTTAGTTTCCTTCTCTATAAGAAGAAAGAGATCTTATTCTCTCCTCTCTTCTGTCTCAGGAAATTTTCACTACGTGACTTTACCCCAGTGAAACCCTGCATTTGTCCAGCACTTTTAAATGAACTTACTGCGGGCCAGCCCCATGGCCAAGTGGTTAAAGTTCCATGCACTCGGATTTGGCAGCCCGGGTTCGCAGGTTCAGATCCTTGGTGCAGACCTACTCTACTCGTCCGCCATGCTGTGGTGGCATCCCACATACAAAGTAGAGGAAGACTGGCACAGATGTTAGCTCAGGGCTAATCTTCCCCAAACAAAAAAAAAAAAGAGGAAGACTGGCAAAGGATGTTAGGGTGAATCTTCCTCACAAAAAAAAAAAACAAATGAACTTACTAATACATGATGTAAATGTATTAATATTCCTTCCTGCATTGATTTAGCATTTCTGTTTTCTTTCTGTGTGTCGTCCACGTATTTTTATTTATTAGCCAATGAACTTTTTTTTTTTTTTGGTGAGGAAGATTGCCCCTGAGCTAACATCTATTGCCAATCTTCCTCTTTTTGCTTGAGAAAGATTGCTGCTGAGCTCACATCTGTAGCAATCTTCCTCTATCTTATGTGGGATGCCACCACAGTGTGGCTTGATGAGCAGTGCTAGGTCTGCACCGGGATCTGAACCTGTGAACCCAGGCTGCTAAAGCATAGTGTGCAAACTTAACCACTATGCCACAGGGTTGGCCCCCAATGAACTTTTAAAGGAGCCCCTATCTGTGCTCCAAGAAAGGTGCTGAGTGCTGGGGCTGAGGATGGGAAAAGATATCGGAATGTGTTTCCTGGATCTTAAACTCTGGGAGGGCAGAGAGCAGAGATATGCCCATTACTGAGGGCAGTGCTAAACAGGTACCTAATTCCACAAATAATTATTGGAGATGAAGATAATGATGGTGATAAATGAAAAACTGTGGAGAAGGCCTTCACATTATTGGTGGCAAGGGGCCGTGGGTACCACAGCTCTCTTGTGCAGTGCAAATCACCAGAGCATCCTGGGGACAAGCTCACAAGTTTTTTCAGGAAGATTCGAAGGAAAGTGTGAGGGAACTGCTGAAGAGGCTTTTGGAAGAAATAATTCACAGTTGCAAAAAGGATTTGGCTGATGAACTTTTCTCTCTATAAAAACGAGGAGACAAACAATGGGCAGAAAGTCTAAGTAGGCCGATTTCTTTCACTGAGAAAAAGCAGAATGTACAAGCCCATTATTACTCTGCTAGTTAATTATTAATCCTATGCTTTTCTCTTGCTAGAACTTCTGGTGCAGTATATAATTCATGAACACACTTTGCCAGCTCTCTGCCTGCTGGTTAATCTCTCTTTGGTGTCATTTTAGTCGTTTTGAAAGCCTCTGGTCCCCTTTTATAGGACAGCTTTTCAAGTCGTCGAATCTCCATTTTCAGGCATCTACATGCAGGTTCTAATCTTTTTCGACTTTATTGATCATCAACTTGATTTTTTAGGCTCCATGATACTTCTTGTAGCACATTATAGTATAGATATTATCAACAAGTCTGCCACTATTCTAAAATTCTCATTTTACTATAAGGACACCGTACAAAACATTGGAAGCATATGTGTAAGCTGGTCTTGCCAACGAGAGCTGTAATGTGCCTCCAGGTAGTGGCTGGTTAGTGTTTGCAAAGATGCCCATCACGGCATATGTGGCATCTACAAACTATAGGGCCATAACCACCTTCCTGAGGCACCTGGTACTGGGGACTCATTGCTGGAAATTTCTTTTACTCCAATTGTTCTTAATCAGCTTAAATACGTGTATTGTGTTTGGTGCGAATTTATTTTAAACATGCGGAGAAGTGCCACAGTACCAGAAAATAGAACTTTATCTTATTACCACTTTCAGATCATTTTTTCTTCCTCATCTCTAAAAAGCTTCAGCTTTGAATCTCATGTCATCTCGTTATATCCCCTAATACTTCTCTTTTGTGCTGTGGTCTGCCAATCTCTAGGACATTTTCCTCTGTTATTCGAAGTCATTAGCTCCTTTCTCGTGGTCACAATCTCCAGTTCTATTCCTCCCTTAAGTCTTGGCAATTTTAACATACATATAGATCATCCTTCTAACCTTCCATCCTCCCAAAGCTTGGTTTCTCAGTTCCTTAACCTCCTCTCCAACATCCTTGTCCTCCACTCTACCTTGGTCACTCACACTCATGGTCACACCCTGAACATTGTACCCCAGACCAGAGGTTGATGAATGATGGTCAGGTAAGGTCCAGCCTGCTACCTATTTATAAATAAGGTTTTATTGGAACACAGCCACACTCATTCATTTTGTATTGTCTGTGAGTGCTTATTTATTTTGTATTGTCTATGAACGACAGAGTTGGGCAGTAACAGAGATTGTCTGGTGTACAAAACCTAACTATTCACTATCTGACGTTTTTCAGAAAAAGTTTGCCAACCCATGCCCTAGACCAATAACTGCATCCACTTCATCGTCTTCATTTTGTGCTTCCCCCTCTGACAACCGCCTTCTGTCTTCCCAGTTTACTACTACTCAACAACAAAAATGCTTGTACTCCTCCTGGAGCTCCACACCATTGCCCCTTTCATTATTTTTCACCTCTCTCACACCCTTCATGTCGCCTCTACTCTTTTTACCCAAGTTAAGTTCCATGGTCAATTATTATAATCATATTCTTTCACATCCCCTCACTCCTTTGCCAGTCTTTTGCTTTCTGGACCATGATTAGCAAAACAATTCACTGTCTGCCATCTCTGCTTCTATATCCATGCAGCTTAATGTGGCTGGAGAAAAACACACAACCCTGTAGACCAGCTCATTTTTTTTTTTTTTTACCTGATCATAAGTTATATTTTAAACTCTTAAAAATGGGACTGTCAAACTTCCAGATTATTTAGATGCTGTAACTGCTTAGAGTTTGATATGAAAGATGATAATATTTAAATTAAGAGGAAGAAATATTATTAAATTACAGCAGAGGAGAAACCAGAAGTCATGGCTTCTTTTTATCAGGTACAAGGTACTCAAAAGGAAAAAGATCATTGCTTTTTCTTTCAATCGCTTTGTTCTATTGTCTTATCTTTCCTTCATTATCTTTCTTCATTCTCCTGAGTGATTTTCCCTAATCATTCTTTTTTTTCTTTTTTTTTAATTTTTCTTTTTTTTCGGATGTACATCATATTTCGAATTCTGTGTACATTACTTCATGTTCACCACACGAACACTATAGTGCATCCCCTCACATGTGACCCTAATCACCCCATTTGCCCTCCCCCCTCTTCCCCAATGGTAACCACCAGTCCAATCTCCAATGCTATGTGATTTTTTGTT